GGGGGGGGGGGGAGGAGGCATTTCAGGGAGCCTGGAGGGCGAGAGAATAGTCAGTACGTGAACTTAGAGGCTTTGGGTTTTGAGCATCACCACTTCAGAACAGAAATTAAACCTCTATGTAGAAGACTGTATTTTTCAACAATAACTAATAAATGAAGCTTAGTTAAAATTAATATTTTAAATTAATATAGGCTATAAGTTTAAATTTATCTGAACTTATACTTAGTCTGTACACATTAATAAAGGCAGACCTACTAAACTGTCTGTTTCAAATATATATAAGCAGAGAAAATCTTCAGAGAAATTTGAAAGAATGGTTCTATTATATACACTGAGTTAACAAAATAAATGATTTGCCCCAATTTTCCTAGAACTCAATCACTGATTTTTTTTTTTTTTAATATATCTTTATTGATTTCAGAGAGAGGAAAGGAGAGGGAGAGGGAGAGATAGAAACATCAATGATGAAAGAGTCATTGATCAGCCGCCTTCTGCACTGAGCCCGCAACCTGAGCATGTGCCCTGACCAGGAATCGAACCCCAGTCATCTGGATCCTAGGTCGACACTCAACCGCTAAGCCACGCCTGGCCAGGCAAACACTGATTTTTTGGCAAAATACAGTAACAGGAGCCAGAGACACTATCAGTGCATAGGAGTTAAAATACAGATTATCTTAATCATGAAAAAATTTAAAAGCACACACAGCAAAGAAAGTATATCTGATTAACACTTGGAAAAAAGTATTCAAAGCTAACTGGCTAATCTGGTAAAAGGGTTTGATAGATTACCTAATACGTCTCCAAAAAGGCAACCTATAAAAGACATCTGTAAACTGTACTAAAGCATTAAAGCCTATTTCAAAGAACATAAATAATAGAGATGCAAAACATATGGGCAGCAAATAAATAGATAAGATAAAAAGAATTCTACCAATAACTACAGTGTTTTAATCACAAAACCTATTGCTAATAGAAAGTGGGGCAGGACAGTAAGAAGCTAGAAAAATTCCTGGGCAGGGCAGTGGAATGTGGAAACTGAGACAAGAAAATGAAACAAAGCCAAACACTTCAGGCAGCTTGCAGCCAGTTTGTGAATCCCAAGATCTTATCTTCCCCAACCAAGGACACCTAAGAGCAAGTGGTTTCTACCCTCCTCCCTAACCAGAGAATATGTAGCTCAAATCACCCTGGCCTGGGAAATAGAGAACAAAGACCCAATGAATGCCATTCATGCCAGCTAAACCCAAGGACAGACAAAGACTGGGGGACAAATAACAAAAACCCCAGAAGCATTTGGATGATATCACTTGAGGGGAGAATGTTAGGCAGGAAAGAGAGCTGCTTCGGCAGGAGGAGGGGAAGGGGAGGGAAAGGGGGAGTTTATCTCACCCAGTTAACAAAGAAGTCAGCAGTATTAGGACTTGAGCAGATAAAATTGCCAGATGATCTAATAAATTCTGGGAAAAGTTACAACAATGTAAAAGGGGGACCTTGAAATCTAGTCTATCCAGCAGGGGAACCTTGAAACCTATAGGGGGGAAAAGTATAAAACCCTTGAACCCACACCAGGCGGAGCACTGAAGAGTAGCCAAGTTGCCCGCTTGTGCTTTATGCCAAGTGTATTCTTAATAAATTTGCTTGTTTTGCTTTCTTAACAAATTCACTTGCTTCCCGCTTCAACACTGCTTTCTGTCACTCGTCTGAATTCTTTCTCGTGAGCTGAGGAAGAGAGAGCCCCCTCTGACTCAGGCAGCTCTCAGGTAACAACAGTAATGTTACTACAGTCATTAACGCTATTTCTGAAGTGTTGTTCTACCTTCACAGTATTGCTGTCACTCCTCATGGATTCACATAATTGGGCCGTCTTTAAAGGCACCCAAACTGCTCAAAGTCCTCGCAATAAGCACCTCAGCTGCCCTCACAGGACCTGAGACAGCCATCTGTCATAGCATTTGACTCAGTCCCCCTGGAGAAACATTCACTGGTCCTGAAGTAATAGATACAAGATTTCTATTGTCTTGGTATAAGTTTTTCATATTCTTTAAGGAATAAAATAGAAATACATGTAAAGCCCTTAAAACTATGAACAGCCATCACTTATTTACTATTGACTATCCTTTAGGTACACTGTTGTAATGAAGCCTCAAGCAACCTACCAGGCAGATGGTGTGGTGTTTGACAGATGTAAAAGCAGAAGTCTGCACTGTAAAACCTCATCACCCCAACAGCGGAGTTTACCTTTTACTGTCTTTGATTACCAAAAGAGTTAAAACTAACCCTTGTAGTTATGTTTCCTTACATCAAAAGCCAAAATATAACCATTTACACAGAATGTTCCTACATACTGTAAAATCCTGCAGTATTTTAACATGGAAGCCACAGAGTTTGAAGCTTGAAAAACTAAGGACCCTGAAGAATGAAACTAAAGAATATGAGTTTCTCGACTAAGACACCTCTAAAAAGATTCTGTCTAGAAATATTTCCCCATGTCCTCAGCATCGTTCTGGGTATACTCTAAATGCTCAAAAAATACTTGTTTAATGAATAAAATACCATATGTTGTTCCCTCAAATGTTTGATTACCTCAAAGGTGTTATCGCCTTTATATGCTTACTGGGGGAAAAACTTAAAGCTTCATTGTCTTTGATTTCATTTGCTTCTACCTTCATTTGCTTATTAGTAAATTACAATGATTCTGCATGTTATCAGCATTTTTTTATCTTAATCATCTACATTTTTTATTAATTAAAACAGATTCATTCAATCTCATGGCTTAGAAACTTACAAATATGGAAAATACAAGACAACTTAATCTTTATCTTTTGGTAAGCAGTATAAACGGAAAAAAATTTATCTTTCACTGCTGAAGACACCAATTTTAAAATACATTCTGTGAACACAAGTAGGCGCTACTACAAACACCAACCTTCAAAAACAACCGTCTATACTTAACACATTGCACTGGGGCAGCTATTGCTAGTCAAGTAAAGTACTTTTTGAGCCACTAATAAATAGAGCACACTGTTGTGGGTAGGAAATAAAATTTTTCCTCCCAGCTGATCTTTCATAAATATTATTCATATACTACAAACAAATATTTTAATGGCTCAAATTATTTTTTCAACTTCCAAAACAATCTACATTACAAAAGTTTCTAATACTGACAAAGCATCTTTTTTCTTGTAAACCAGTAAAAATCAAAATAAAGAGGAATTGTGGGTAATGGAATTCAAACCACAGAACACTTTATAATGGAAAATAGGCTATTACTGAGGAAAAATTAGACTGCAATTAATTTCATAATAAAATTTATTTACATACCAGCACAGAATATCCCTGGGACTTCACTCCTGACTATCACGGTCCGCACTTTCTTATCAGATTTTAAAGCATCCACAGCTTTTGAGAGCTAAACAGAAACAAGGAGGGCGAAAAGAACAAGGGGAAATTTTTTCAGATTGATGTCAACATTATAGCTTAATTTTAGAAGCAAACAGTTTAATCTTTACACTCACCATTTTAACAAGATTTTTACTGAATGAATTTTTGGCATGAGCTCTGTTTATTCCAAGCACCACAATTCCTAGTTAAGAAAAAAGAAGCACAAGTACCTGAGTTAATCAGTGTTCATGGTACAGACTCCCACACACACAGCTACTTAATTTGGGACTTAGGAAATCTACCACCTCCTTGAAGTTCACTCCAAGAGCTTATTTTCGTGTTTACATCCTTTGTCAAGCATATATTTTAAAGAATGTAGTACATGTAACGTATTTATAAAATCAATCTTCTGCTTAATAGTCACTGCTTTTCTTCAGACTGACAGAACTTTATAACATCATGCCCCTTACATTTATCTCTTCTTACGTACCACCAAGGTAATCAGCATATCTAAGTACAATTTACATCACCAAGTCAGACTAACTGGAAGGAAGGCCACGCTTACTAGTAAAAATCCTCAATTACAGTGTGCTATTTAAAATGTCATTTCATCCCCTTCACCTACACACAGAAGTAACAGCTAACAAACCCTCGTCACAGGCAAGGAATGCAGGATCAGGTATTTGCTAGTGGTATACATAACCAGGTATTATCATCTCAGTTACTCTCCTTGTCACACTAACTAGTTTTCATAAGCTCCACCCCAAGTTTCTCGCCCTCTGTTGCGCAACTTAAACTGAAGGCACTTCCATCTAGGAGTTCAGCAAGCAATTCAACCTCAACCTATAGAAACAAAGTTCACACTATCTCCCACAAAGCCCAGCTCTCCCTCCTAACTTCCCTAATTTTATCAGAGACCATCATCTAAATGAGCCTCCCATTCCAATGGCTGCAGTCAGATCAATATTCCAAAAGCAAATCTATGCACAGAATTCAACCCCTGCTAAAATGTCTTTAATTTTTTTCTTATTTCCAAAATATCTGAGTTCAAAGACCTTAATTTGATATTCAAAGTTGTATACACCTGCACTCAACCTGCCTGTCCTTTGAGTAAGCACAGATTTTTCTTGTAGAAGAGAAATGCCTTTCACCTGGTTGGGAGGGAGGTGGGTATGATCCTTAACTGGGTTAAACTGAAGACAAGAAAATGTACACATGCGTTCTCTAGGCAAAAACCTGTACAAACCTATTTTTCAAAAACAGTACAAAGATGAACTTTGGCTCACAGTAGACTAAATTTACAAGAATTCCAAATGACCTCAGCATGGAGAAAATCATGGAGGAGAAATGGTATCAAGGCCCTAAACAGCTAAGTGATCATGGCTAGGCCCCAATGCTAATGACAGCAGCTACCACTAACTGAGCACTTTAGTATGTGCTGGACACCATTCCCAGTGCTTTCTGTCCATTACCTCAGGTAATCCCCACAACAACCTAGGTGGTAGGTACAGCTTTTATCCTTATTGAACAGATAAAGAAACTGAGAGTTGGAGAGGTTAAGTAACCAGCTAGTAAGTGGCAATCCAACTCCACACCTGAATGAATAAAAGGACTATGCTACACTGTCCAAGCTTCAGTTTCCTCATCAAGAAAATCATGTGAATAACACTAGATGTGTTCAAAATGTGTTCATTCATTCAAATGTATTGACTAAACATTATGATGCTCAGCTCTCAAAGAGTCAAGAAAGAAAAGACAAACATCAATAAAATAATAATAAAAATGTACAATTCAAAATGCTTTACATGCTGTGCTCTAAATGGTACTACAGTAACTGTAACCAAAACTGATATGGTCTAGGGGCAAAGAGAAAGTTTATCCAAGACTGCTTTTTGAGTGGAGATTAGAAGGATGAGTAGGACTTGGGAAGAGGGTAGAGGCTGGATTCCAGGAAGGACAGCACAGGAGACAGCATGAAACAGTCAAGGCCCCATTACAGGTCCTGTCACTCAGAAGGAGAAGAGGACAGTGACAGGGAGGTCACCACAGGCCAGGTATTATCTTTTCAGATCCTGTTAAAAAATAGGGAATAACCAATGAAGGAGTTTTAAGTCATATAAACAAACATAAACAACCAGGGGGAAATACAGTTTCGATCTTTTGAGATCACACCAAAAGTGTACAGGGCTACAAGCTTCGAGGTACAAGCTGTAATCCAGTCAAGAGATAATAGGTCTGGCTGAGGTAAGTGGAGTTAGAAATAGAAGTGCTCAAGATCTTATTCAAGAGAAAATTTAAAATGATAGTGATTAGTCAATCACTAGACTAGACTGAGGAATGACTATTTTGGAAGGAAGTGTTAGGAGTGTCTACTAGGTGTTCGGCTTCAGCAATGGATGAAAGGAGATGGCATTCAATAAGACAGAAGGGAAATAAAGTTTATGAGTTTGTTTTTGAGTTAAAGTGAATCTGAAGTGCCTTTGAAACACCCAAGTTGATGTTAACTCTAAGGGTGTAACAGAATGAAATGCTCAGTCTGAGTCCATCTGGTTCAAGCCTGCATTGTTGCTGTGGCCTTCGGCCCAAAGATCGTGCTTTAGACATGCTAATCATTACAGAATTCTGCTTGGAACTTGAGTTTTTACAAAAACCGCCCTTCCCATTTTCCCTTCCCTTGACATAAAATAAGCCTAAACTCTGCACTTTCTTAAGATGGATTTCAGGATTAAAACTCCCATCTTCTCAGTTGGTGCCTTCTTGATCAATAAACTTTTCCTTACTCTAACTCTGACATTTTTGAGTTTTGGCCTTTCAGAGCCTCAGGCACCCTAACTTTGTGCTGTCCGCTTCTAAGCTAAGAATGCAGGCTCTGAGATCTGATTGCTGGGGTTGAAATCCCAGTCTGCCACTTACTAGCTATATGACCTTAGGCTAGTTATGTAACTTCTCTGAGCCTCAGTTTCTTACACTGTTGAGGAAGATGCTAGTAGTTCCAAACTCTGTGGCACTGTTGTGAGGAACAAATGATAAAATACATACAGGATGGGACACAAGTAGGTTTACAGTTGTGAGTACACAAAACAAGTTTATTCTTGTATTACTGTTTATTAACTACTGCATTATTTCCCACACAAATAACTATAAACCTACTTCTGCCCCACCCTGTACATATAAAGCTTACAACATAAGCAATTATTTTTGTCCCTTCTAGCAAAAAGAGACAATATCTTGGCATGGTATTCCTTTTTCAATTCAGGCTACTGTGTCTGTCTCTCATATACAAATTAGTTTGGTCTGCTATTCCTAACCCAATATTAGGGTTTTTTTGGTTTTTTGGGTTTTGTTTTTTAATTTATTGATTTGAGAGAGAGAGAGAAAAAGAGAGAGGAGCAGAGAGAGAGAAAGAGGGAGACACTGATTTGCCATTCCACTTATTCATACAGTCATTGGTTGATTCTTGTATGTACCCTGACCGGAGATCGAACCCGAAACCTTGGCGTATTGGGACAATGCTCTAACCAACTCAGCTCAGGGCCCCAATATTAGTTTTTATTCTATTAACTATTTATGCCATCTGTTTTTTTACTTTCCTCTACTTCTGGTGTTAAATGCCTTCAGTCTTCTTACTTCTCTTAAATCCTAACTTATTTTTATTTTAGTAATCACAACAGAAAATTTACATATTAAAACAGATTGTTTTACCAAAAAGTAGCTTCCTTTTGTTTTCATTATATTTAGGAATTTTTAAAAATTATGTATGTGAGTAGCTTATATTATCTGTACATTTCATTTCAGGTCAATAGAGAGGGGCCTCGTAAAATGTGCTATTAAGAACCACTGGTCGACCATTCAACATAATATTATAAATCCCTGATAATATATGGGAAAATAATGTCATTTTATATCAGGTTTCACCCCATTTTCTGAACTACACTGAGTTAACTAAGTTTAATGACCATTTGTCATGTCTTCTGAGAATTAACTGTTCTTATTGTTTGCCTGCCTACACAAAGAATTGTCTTTTGCATTTTGATTAATTTTTTACATTATAAATATTAACTCATGTATACAGAAGGGTATACACCCTGCATACCTCCATTTATACAAAGGTCCAGAGACGGCAAACAGAAAAAGGCAGAAGTAAATCGGTGGTTGCATAGGGCTGGCAGAGAAGGAGGGATTGGGCGGTAACAACTAAAAGGGTGGAGTTTCTTTTGGGGGCAATAAAAGTATTCTATAATTGATTGTGGTGAATACAGAACATTAGCAAGATTAACAAGTTCCCTTACTTTGTCAATGCCTTTAATGAGAATGCTTTAGTATTTCACCATTTAGTATGTTGTTTGCTATAAAATTCCAATAGCTTTTTATCAAGTTGGGGAAATTTATTTCTATGTTTAAATTTGTATTTTAAAAAGATCACTCATGCTAGTGTAGAGAACAGATTAGAAGGAAATCAAGAATATACTAGGGAACAACAAACCAGTATCCCTAATGAATATAAAGGTAGAAATCCCCAACAAAATATTAGAAAGTCAAATTAAGCAGCATATTAAAAGGTTTATACACCATGACCAAATGGGATTTATACCAATCAAATACACCACATTAACAGAATAAAGAAAAAAATTTTAAACCAGGTGATCATCTTAACTGACAGAAAAAAAACCCTCCATAAACTAGTAACAGAAGGGAATTTCTCAACTTCATAAAAGGCATTTCTAAAAAACCCACAACTAATATGAAGTATGAACTCAATGATAAAAGACTGAAATAAGAAACAAGACAAGGGTGTCTGTTTTTACCACTTCTATTCAATGTTTCACCGGAAATTCTAGCCAAGGTAATTAGGCAAAAAAGAAAAAATAGACATCCAGATCGGGGCAGGAAATAACATTATTTCTATTCACAGATGATATGATCTTATATAGAGAAAAATCCAAAGAATCCACCAAAAACTATTTGAGCTAATAAATGAACAAGATCAATATACAAAAGCAGCTACAGTTCTATACACTATCAATAAACACTTCAAAATGAGACTAGGGAAATAATTCAACTTGTAATAGCATCAAAAGGAATAGAATACTTAGGAATAAATTTATTCAAGAAAGTTTAAAACTGTACACTAAAAACTATAAAAGATCACTGAAAGAAATTAAGACATAAATAAATAAAAAGATATCCCATGTTCAGAAAAGATTTA